CCCCTTGTTGTTGTCCGTTTGGTCTAGTTCTTCTAGGTCCGTTCTTTTTCCTTTTTCTTTATTTTATTTTATTTTATTTATTTATTTATTTATTTATTTATTTATTTATTTATTTATTTATTTAAGGGGTAGGTAATTAGGTTTACTTGTTCAGTTTTGAAGGAGGTACTGGGGATTGAACCCAGGACTTTGTGTATGTTAAGCATGTGCTCTACCATTTGAGCTATGTACTCCCCTCTTTCCTTTTATTTCTAATCTGTCCTTTCAAAGCCTGGATTGCTGAGATGAGATGGTCTCTTTTACTCAAACTTTTTTTTTAAATTATGGTGAAACACACACAACATAAAATTTACCATTGTAATCATTTTTCAGTGTACAGTTCAGTGGCCTTAAGTACCTTCATATTGTTGTGCAACCATCACTACCATCTATCTCCTTAACTCTTTTCATCTTGCAAAACTGAAACTCTATCCATTAAACGAGAACTCCCCACTCCTCCCTCCCCCAGCCCCTGGTGACCACCTCTATGAATTTGACTCCTTTGGTACCTCATATAAGTGGAACTATACAGTATTTTTTTATGATTGGTCTATTTCATGAGCATAACGTCCTCAAGGTTCATTCATGTTGTCTGAATTTCCTTCTTTTTTAATGCTGAATCATACTCATGTTATGTATATACAACAATTTGTTTTTACATTCATCCATTGGTGGGAACTTGGGTTGCTTCCACCTTTTGACCATTGTGAATAATGCTACTATGAACATGGGTGTAGAAATATCTCCTTGAGCCTTGCTTTTAATTCTTTGGGTATATACCCAGAAATGGAATTTCTGGATCACATGGCAATTGCGTTTTTGAGGAACTGCCATACTGTTTTCCATTGCAGCCACACCATTTTCCTTTCTCACTGGCGGTGCACAACAGTTCCAAATTCTCATATACTTGTCAACGGTTGTTGTCTTCTGTTCTTTGATAATAGTCATTCTAATGGGGGTGGGAGTGATAGCTCATTATGATTTTGCTTTGTGTTTCCCTAACCATGAGTGATGTTGAGCATCTTTTCATGTGCTTATTGGCCATTTGTACATCTTCTTTGGAGAAAAGTCTATACAAGTTCTTTGCCCATTTTTGAATGGGGTTGTTTGGGTTTTTTTTTGTTGTTGAATTCACTTGGGCTTTTGCATGAAGATAACAAGACCCCAGAAATTATAAAAGGACCCGCTACCCCAACACACAGTAATCCAGGCCAATTTCACATTCAAGGCATAAGAACACATTAACCGCCTCCAGCAGCTGTGTGCTGGATGGCTCTCAGGCTTATATTTTGCTGTCCAGAGATTACATTCAGTTTCTTGCAAGCTCAGTGACATTGGGTGCACTCCAGGAAGAGAAGTTGGCCTTAAATCCAGCACTCTTCATCCTGGACTTGTGTGGGGGGGGTGCTTTTTGTTGTGGAGGCGACAGTCCAGCCCGGGGTGGGATCAGGAAGGAGGCACTGGTCACTGGCTTGGGCAAACAGTGCATACAGAAAGGCCACCCTGACAAGCCCCTACTGAATCTTTGTGCTTTTGGTTACTGATTCCGGGTAAGAATCTGAATCTCAATGGCTGTAATCACTGTGCAATTTGGAGAGGGAGAGAGGCTAACCTAGCCCAGCTGTCCTGCATCTGTGAGCAGCCTCTCACTGTTAACTATAGATCATTAAGCTGCCCAAAAGGAGAGCTGCTTCCTCAATTTACATCTCCAGAGGGCTGCTGACTGGAATTTCAAGTTACGGTTCCAGAGTGCACTGTCTTTGAACGCCCACTTCGGACTCCTCCAAATTCTTAAATATGCAGCATAGAACTGTTAACATGCATATTTCTAGGGGGTATGGCTAATACGCAGGAAGAAATCACCTTTATCACAGCAGCAAATAATATAAACCAGTAAACAAGGCACCGAATAGAGGAGTTTTAAAAGCCCAGTTTAGTTAAGAGCAGTAATGAGAAAGGGTCATTAGTCTCATTTTACAACCTCAGAAAGACAAAGTGGACAATCGTTACCAAGATACTTGGAAATAGGAAGCTTAATTGGACTTGGAAAGATGCATGACTCCCCCACCAATAGAAGTGTTCTCTCTTATGTAGTTAGTGGGTCCCTGGACGACCCCAAAAAGAAGGTGCTCAGGGGAAAACCATGCTAAGTCTGTTACTGCCAGGAGAACACGGAGCCGAGGGGCCAGCTGCCCCGCTGAGCAAGCACACGCTGCCCGAGTCAGGCCCGTCAGTGTATGAGCTCATAAGCACTGTTAAAATCAAACACAAACGGAGCCCTGAAAATTCCCCGAACAGACAAACCCAGTGTAATCAGACAAGCAAAGCTTCATTTAGCTTACGCTGCAAGACAAGTGAGGCTCACTTGACCTGGGTCACTTCTCAGGCCTCTGAAAATTGTAAGTGGGGCTTAAATTATTCTCGCCAGTTGACACGAGGTAACCACTAAACGATCCCCTTTCATCTGATAAAATTCTAACGTGGTAACCAGTCACTGTGAAGAATCAACAGTCCCCACCGGCACAAGATTCGAGCTTCTTTCTCACCACACACCTCTGCCTCAGCCCATGCTCTGGTCTGTGTGCGCCTGGCTTGCAAGCTGTCTTTTTGGTGTGTGCACAGCACACTTTTACTAATTAGGACTTCAGTGATTCACTGGTTTTGTTTGTTTTTTTTTTCCCCCTGAACTTTTGACAGCACTAAATAGCTAAATGGCACGTGGGGGATAAGTAAGAGATTTGGTGCACGCGGTCAGTGAGAGGAAGCAGTCTTGTCTGGTCTTTAATGAGGAAGAATGGGGATTCTCAAATGAGGAGCAATTACCTAGGACAATGGTTCACAAGACCGAATGCCACACATTTAAAGGAAGACACGTGCCCAAATAGGAAGCTTTTCAAGATGGAGAATAAAGGCATGAAAAAGAAAATTAGGTACCGAACACTGAGTCTGTTTATATATTCAGGGAAGGGAGAGGGAAATAGCTAAATGTTATCCAGAAAAAGCAAGGGACCTTGGAAAGAAGGAACTTGAGTGGGGGAAAAAAAAAAAGACTACCTAGTGAGGAAGAGACAGCGAAGACGGCTTAAATGGCAGGACCCTGTGCTGGTGAGACAGTGCACCGAGAATCATTTTGCATCCCTGGCACCATGTTTAATGGAACCACTTGTTGACTAATCAGAGCAGAGGGCAGCATCCTGCAAGCTGTGGGGCCTGGGCACCAGGAATCTAAAGAGAGCTCAGAGGATGCTTAGTAAGAGCAGAGGGCACAGGGGACATGTGGCGTGGGTGGCCTTCACATCAGAAGGGCTGTGCCAGGGTCGGGGGCAGAGGGACAGACTGCTCTGGGTGACTTCAGAAGATAAAACCACGAACAAAATATAGAAGCTACAAGGATTTTGATGTGTCCCCAAATTATCAAGACTCTTGTACTGATCAGTTGTCCATCAATGGAGTGGCTGGGGGATATGAGTTAATGAAGAGCCCACTTCTCTCCCCGTAGAATCTAGTGACTACTTAGGACTAAATCATATTTCTATTCAAGGGTAAGAGATGTTAAAAACCCGTATGATTTTTATTTTATACTAAATAGAAAATTCAAGGTTGATAGAAGATTAAGTTCTCTATCTTAAAAAAAGATATATCATAAGTAATCTAGCTCCAGGTTACATAATTTAAAATATTTGCAATTAAATATGGGATTTTATAGTTATAAAATAATTGTGATGTTAAGGTAAGCAGGCCTTCTGGGCTTGAGAAGGATGAGATTATCCAGAGTAAGAATGTGTGACAATGACAGCCCATTCCACCCGGCCCCACGACCGGAGAACGTGCCTCAGTCCCTTCCTTCTTTAACGTGGACAGTAAATCTCACCTGTCTTCAGGGATGGTGGGAGGGTGCACAGGGCAAGAGTGGAAAGCTCTGGCACAAATCACTGCCAGTTTCTCTTCCTCTCTCACCATTCAAATAAGCAGTTGAGACAGCTGCGTTAATTCTTTCAAGCCATTGTTGGTCACGTCCAGATATTTAACTGAGGCTCAAGTTCAGCTGCCTTGTGGACCACAGATTTCAGGGAAAACCTCTGCTAAGCTTAGGGGACACAAATATCATCAAGACAGCCTTTAGTATCAGCTACCCCCCACCCACCTCGTCTCCCATCTCCCCTCCTCTCTCACTCTCTACCTGCTGGTAGGGGCCCTTCGTCGTCTTCTGTGAGCTTGCTAAACTTGTTCTTGCCTCTGGGCCTTTTTATTTGCTGTTCCATTTCTTGGAAAACCCTTCCCTCGTAGACACATATATATCTCGCTCCCTCATTCCATGTAGGTCTCTGCTCTAAATCACCTCCACAGAGACCTTTTATGACCATGTTGTAAAATAGCCCACTACGACCCCACTCTCTTGTCACCACATGACGTTAGAGTAAATATTTATTAGTTTACAGTCTTTCCCCCACTAGAACAGGCTGCATGAGGGCAAAGCCTTTTTGAAGCATTTAACAAGCACTTGTATTTGGCCATGTGCTCAGAGAACAAGTCCAGGGAAATAGCTAGTATTTATTGCCATAAATCTCTGGCCACAAATCTCAATGTTTTGGTGTGGCTTTGGTGGTTGGGGCCAGATGATGGTGGCTCAGATGGACTCCAGTGCCTCTAATCTAAGGCTCATTCTAAAAGCGAGCCCAGAGGTCTTCTTGGCACCCACCCCAGAAAGCCTAATGTAGGGTCCTTCCCAAGCAGGAGGCAGCTATGGGCCCTTCTGACCAGACTAGCTGCTTGGGGGAAGAGAGAAGCAACCCAA